GCTATGGCAGAATGTCATGATATAGCGAGAGTGACGTCAGTTGAAACATCACGCCCATTAAAATTTCGATGAACGATTATCAAAAATCTTGACCGTGTTTATTGTGATAAAAATATCGGTAACTATATAAAAAATAATCTATCTTTGAAACTGCACACGTCCACAGTAAAATATTGCTAGAAAATCCCACAAAATGCAAATTTCTGCTCAGGTGATCACATTTCCCATAAGAGCTAATGTTAAAAAAAAATTTCCAGGTCACTTTTATATTTGCGCGTAGGATGGGTTTTAAATGACTAAGGTCTATTGAAATTTACTAATGTTATCTACTTATCTTATTATTAGACGTCATGGTATTGCTAACCTGCGTTTACATCAAGCAAGAAAGGTTGTCTGCACTGAGCATTGAGAGAGACAAACTTAAACAGATAAATTTTGATGAACATTTGCATGATTTTGCTTTGACGAAAGCTAGGAAAAAATTTTTGTCGCCTAGTCTTACTCTATTTGATGGCTGTAACTATTTCTTATGTCCTCGTAAATAAACTTTACAATATTTGTAACGTTTGTTCGATCAAATTGATTAAAAGCAAAACTGCCTTAAGTAAATTTTTATTCTTTTAATGAAAGATTTGCACCCATGAATGGGGAGAATGAAAAGTTTAATGCACTCATATTTTTAAAATTGGACAATGATATGTGATATTGTTTAGAGAGAAATTCTGAGCTCGAAAATATGGAGGGGCCTCACAAATGGAATAGCCTAGCTAGGGCCTCTCATGGTCTAAATCCGGCCCTGTCATTACGGCATATCATCATATCTGAGTGATGGGAAGCAATACGTTCAAATGGGGAGTATATCTCTGAAATGGACCACACTAAATGTGGAGTCCCACAGGGTTCTACAATAGGCCCGTTGCTATTTTTGTGCTTTAATATTGATTTCCTTCTTCCTCTTTTAAAACAACAAAATATATGCTGTTTTGTAGCAAAAACAAATGATATTACTAACTTTGTAGGTAGGGGTAGGCTTAGGGAATCACATAATTGACTAGAAGTATAAAATATTTAGGGGTTACGATGTATGACAAATTGAGTTGGAAACCACATATTGCTAGAATTGCCAAAGAACTGATTTCAAACTGTTGTAGTTGGTATTTTTCATTTTTGATCCCGGTCTGGGTGCAATGAAAACTCTTTTTTTCCCATGACTGTTGTAATTCATTCATTGGACATGTCCAATGGACATGTCTTCAAACAAAACACGATCTCTCAGAATTCCAAATTGCCCTTGATGACTGATAATCATAACTTTAAAATTGCCGAGTCATTCACTTATTATCTCAATTATATACTTATAGTTAATCTCATCAGCTTTCATCTATACTATCAAGTCAAGTTTATTTTTTTCAACCAGTAAATAAAAGAAAACAAATGAACACAGAAAATACGAAAAAAATGAAAATCACAGTTTTGCTGGGAAAAGGAAGTCGGGGGAACCAAAGCTGGTTATCGATCAGCGACTAAGGTTCTAATATCTAATTTGAAAAAATATATTTTAGAGTTGGGAAACTATGCCATGACCAACTTATATACTGCATATACACGGCGGCCTAGATGAACTTTATCCGTATCTAGGTCCGGCGGCTCGCACAAAAATTATAGCCTTAATAGTACATTTTAGGCTAATTTGTTTGTTTGGTTAGAGGTGAAAGACGTTTCCTGTTGTCAGACGACGACGAATACCACTGTAGCGCCTGCACCAATCCCCCAGTCTGTCCAACACACTGTAACGAGGCAATGTCTTTATTGTAATATTCGATCCGAAAGGATAAAACAATCAGTAATATTGAGTAGTTTATATAGTATTTAGAACTAGGATGAAAATGTACTAATCAAGTATGGAACATAGATAAATTATATTAAAACTGGTTTGTCATTAAGAAATGGCTTGGGGCTATTCGACTCTCCGGGCCCGTTTATCTTTTAGAATCTCATATTTAGTGAAAGCAATACTTTCAGGTCATATATCATAAATTTTCAACTTTTTGGCACTCCGATTCCCTGGGGATTTACCGGATGTTGCACTAGTGCAACTTCTGCGCAGAATGGACTGATTCTAAGATATCACATGTATGTTGTTCAATCTGCAATACTCTGTAACATGACCAGTATGTACACATATATATTTTGAGACTTTGATTTTCAATATATATTAAAATGCAAGAATATAGAAAATCTAGCTTTTACATCGAAATAATTTTGCATTTATCTGCTGTTATGTATTTTATCGGAGACAGACTTTTTAGCGTGAAAGTCATTTTGATTACGTTACGTTTCGAATAATCAGAAACCAAATTTTTTGGTAGCAGAAAAATCGTTGGCAATTTGTGTGTGTATTTACAGTTTTCCGATTTTGATATTCTTTGGACAGTATGTCTTTTCTTTTAACTTTAGACTTTCGTTTGAATTTATCGACCGGCTCTGCCCCCACTCTGGAAGACGCTATAAAAACACGACCAACGGTAGTTTTCCGCAGCATTTGTGTTCAGGACAATTCCATTTTTGTGTATACATTTATTGTTTTGCTCAGCAATTAGTATAGATTGGTTTATGAGTGGAATGCAATGTCCTGATGGTGTTGTCAAACATTTTGAGAAGAGAAAAACTGCGCTCCCCCGAACGTCGAATTAGCTTTTCTGTTTATCTGGGTGAACGGCGCCGCACTCGGACTTTCAAAACACGACTTAGTTTCAACTCTGGATTCGTTTTTGGATAGCTGTTGTCTGTCCGTATAAATTCTAACATTTAAAATGCTGAAATGGTCTGATTTTTTAGGCTCAAAATCTTAGCTATATAAATATCGTTCTGGAAATTACGTGTTTTATCAAGATCAGTGTCATCATATTCATAATAGTAAGTCTCAATTGCTTCTTTATCTGGAAGTGTGGCATTCAACGCAATTTCCGCAAATATTCTACGCTTCGTCATATTTGCAATTGTTCTGCTAGATCGCTGAAACTACAAATAGAAAATCTGAATCAATCTGAGACACTTCTCTATTATTCTAACCACGTATTTATGGCTAATATACGTGGATTTCATTTGGTTTTAAATTTGAATCATATCACTTGTGCATACTTTATGTCACCCCTCCTGAATCTTCTGTTTACAACAAAATTATCAGGAGCCAAATTTTTCCCTACTCAGCAAATTTTCGTATACTGCATCCTAATGAACCTGATTGTACCTTATATGACATAGAAAACTCATAACCTACGTTATCTGCTCAATAAGCCAACATAATTGACGTTCACTTCTGAGGGAAGATGTTGCACGTATGCAACACTAATTTTAAACTACCCCCTCATGAAACCACATGAATCGTTCGAGGTTGCAATCAGTTTGTAAAGATTCTATATACACTATTCTTTTGCCCCGTGCATAGATATGACGAATTCGATTTATATTAATTAGTATATTGGTTAAAATATGACCATGGTTCACCAGCCTGACACAAGCACCGGAGACCGCATCTTGCAAAAGTTGCATGCAGCGTCATCAGGCGGCGACAATGCAAAATAGCAGTTGCACGGAACCAACTAGGTACCGCAGTAGTACGTTGAGTAGAAAAAAGCATTCTGCGTCAGAAAATGTGGGTCGTGGCTAGTTTACAATATGTTGTTGCATACGTGGTACGCATTCCCGGAGAGGGTTAAAGCAATTATGTCCAGTAACTAAACAGGTTATGACGTCTTATAATTCTACGTAAGTCTGAATTATCTGGTTTTACTCCTATTTATAATATTAATATGAAAAACAACAGTCAAATTATACTAAACTATTAAGATTATTACTGTTGAAATATTTTCTCTATTGGGTTATTTATAATAGTGTTAGTTTGTGATAATGAATCTCTTGTGGTCTGTCACGGCTTCTTCCGACATCAAGTCCACGCATCTAAAAAAGAATAAACGGCCTGACTTACCATATACCTGGTAATCAGCAATCAATCAAGGAGAAAAAGCACAATATAATGTAGGCTAAAGAGATCTCGAAATATTTTTATATATTCAAGCTCTTTATCCGAAATTGACAGGATAACCGCGAAATGACCTGAATGGTTATATCCAGTGGTGAGATTCAGCCGGCTCGCACCGGTTCTATAGAACCGTCTCACGGAATTTTATGAGATCTGCGAACCGGTTACATTACTGGTTACTGTCCAATGACTATTTGTAACAGAACCGGCTAAAAAATATGACTTTTGTGATAGAAACGGCTGACAAAAAATCTGAATCCCACCACTGGTTATATCATAAGCGAACAACGGCCTGCCGTCCTGTTACCATTTTAGGATAGGATAGGATTTACATATTTATCCCGGGGGAGAGGAAAGCCGATGAGACGGCTTATCATATGACGAGCCACGGCCTCTCGTCCGGTTACCATTCCAAGTCGGGTATGGGATTAGTTATTGGACACGTAGTGGACATAACGATCGTTTCAAATATTATGTTGTTGTTGTTGTTGTTGTTCTTGTTCTTATTCTTGTTCTTTGACACGTTTTTAAAAAGTCGCCTTTCTCTTTGATTACTGGACTAATTGCTTTGAAATTTTCAGTGGTTGAAGATGAAATTTTCTCAGAAGGCTATTACTTTTATTTATTTCAAATATTTCTGTTAGTAGATAGTAAGTCAAGTCAAGTTTATTTTTTCCAACCAGTAAAAAACAAAACAAACAAAAACACATGCAAAAATATATAGAAAAAATGATATTTAAATTACTGGGGAAGGGAAGCCGCGGGGAACCAAAACTGGTTATCGAGCTGCGACACCCAAGGTTCTAACACCTAGTTTGACAGATCGGGGAGAAGAGTTTAAACGAATAATACCATTAAATTTTACTAAATAGCTAACTAATTGCAATTGTTATATATTATTACTAAAAATTACCGTGCAAAAAGTGCCATAATAGCAGCGAATAACGGGGGATTTCCCGTTTGCATAGACGTAGCTGTAGCAAATGTTGTTCTGTAGAATAACTGGGGAATTTTGAAGGTGACCTGACCACAACGTGGTTGTGCTATGAAGCGATATAGCAATGGACACCGATCAGGTTAATAAATAAAGTGAAATTAGCACGCTGGATGTTGAAATAAATATTCACCATTGGTGTCCTGACGCGTTATCTCAGTACCGGTACTGTACTGCTTGTAAGCTAACAAGAAAAATATTAGGAACAAATATAAATTATTTGATACTGTCAGACTGTGATAAGAATACAATGAAAAAACAATATTGACATTTGTTGAGGTTGAATATAACTGTTGGTATAAAATCACTAGATTATGGAGTCCTTCAATGATAGAAATATCTGAATATAGGAAGCACTGTGATAGGAATACTCCATTGCTTAAACTGGTAAATTGATGTTAACTAATACTAAAATATGAAACATAATTGTAAAACTTTTTCATGTAACATAGCACAATTAATAGTTTTTGTCCATCCTAAAGTATATATTGAGACACTAAATGTCTTTTTAGATTTGATTTGAATATCTGGTGGGACATGCTTTTTAACTCACTTGGTAAATTGTTCCACATTTTTGCTCCAGTGTACTTTAGGCAATTTTTGGTTTTGGAATGTGACATACGACGTAAATAAAAAGAGTATGTGGAGGCTGATCTTGTGTTATGTGTGTGTATAGCAGTGGCGGCGCGTCAATAGAGCCAACCGGGGCAATGCCCCGGTTGTTTTTTCGGTATAATAAAAAATATTCGAAAAATACCTCAATATCGGTTGCACAGACTGTCTACACTAGCCATATTCTCCCGACATGGTTCATTTTTCGCTCGCAAAGCCTTCGCCGAACGTCGACGGGGCGACGCGATTTTGCCCCGGTTGCTCATTGTATATCGTATTCTCTCTTTTATCTTCCACTCGCCGCGTTTGTCTCGTTTGTTTTCTGTTTCTTTTACTAAATCATCGGGGCCGATCGGGGCTAGCTCCGAAATTATGACGACACAATGCCGACGTTTCTTACAACAACGTGTTGACATATTCACGCATTCCTTCTCGTTCATTGGTTGCTTGAGTTGATAGTTTCCTCGCCTTCGTTTTTGTCGCTTGTTTCGCTATTTGAATCAGTTAGAGATCTTAGTCCATTTGCTTTCGATTTTCCACATTCCTTTTGAGCTCCTCACTTCTTTCCGGCTTTGCATTTCTTAGCCTTAGACCTCATAATGAATAAGGTTGATGCACTACTTCGCACTCCGTTTTCGCAGCTGCCGCTGGAACAAAAATTAGAGGTACAACGTCTTGGGCCTTATCAACCAAAAAATTGTTCACCGGAACAATCCCATGACGGAGGAAAGCGTCGGCGTACATTCTGCGCAGAAACTTGGTATAAAAAACACGAATGGTTGGACAAAAATGCACTTTTTTATTTTTATTGCCTACTTTTTGCTACCGCCCGTGACTCACGTTGGTGTAAATTTGGTTTTAGAGATCTTAAACATCTTTCCGAGCGTGCCAGGGATCATCAATCTTCTATGGAGCATCTGGACAATGCAGTAAAATACCGAACATTCGGAAATGTTAATATTGCAGCACAGTTGGATGAAGGACGCGCGGTTTCTATTCGTCGGCACAACCAAAACGTCGAGAAAAACCGCCATGTTCTCGGTCGATTGATAGATGTTTTGAAGTTCATTGGTTGTCACGAGCTGTCCCTCCGTGGGCACGATGAACGGGCTGGCTCTTCTAATAGAGGGGTATTTTTGGATATGGTGGAATACACCGCATCCCTAGATACAGTATTGAGAGATCATCTTGATGCCGCAACTGTTTCGAAAGGGACATCTAAGGATATCCAAAATGATTTGCTCGACTCAATGTATAAAATTTATTTACAACATTGGCTCTGGAAATTGAGAATTGCCAGTTCCTTTCGATTCAGTCTGACGAGACAACTGACATCACGTGCGTTTCCCAACTGGCTGTGATTTTTCGGTTTGTGAAAGATGGTAAACCTACCGAGAGATTTCACAGCTTTGTACCAATCGTTGATCGCACGGCTTGCGGGATATCGGCTGTACTGAAAGAAGTGTTACAGCCTTACAACGCGAAGTCAAAATTGATAGCTCAAACTTATGACGGCGCGGCAGTCATGAGTGGGTCGAAACATGGTGTTCAAGTTTATATAAAAGAAGATTTTCCTCATGCGCATTTTTTACATTGTTATACACACCAATTTAACCTCGTTATTAAAAATATGTGTCTTGATACCCCTCTCGTCCGTATATTTTTTGCAAATGTTTCGGGTTTTCTTTTTTTTTCCGTTTCGCCGAAGCGCTCTGACCTCCTTCGCCAGATATGTAGCCGCCGTCTCCCAGCTTGTGCACCAACACGTTGGAACTTCCAATCACGCGTGTTCAGGGCGTGTCCGAAATTAGGTCTGAGCTCATTGGGTGTTTCAATGGCATTCAGAGCTCTCCGGTTTGGGACGAACGCTCTGTGAGGGAGGCGGCAGGTCTAAAGCGTCTGCTAGAAGATGGTGAGTTTTCATTTTTTCTCGCTTTTTTCTCCACAATATTCTATCACGTGGATGTATTATACGGCGCATTGCAGTCAAGGCTAATGGATGGCGCGTCTGTGCAGTCGTGTATTTCAGACTTCTGCGATGCTGTATCTCGTATCCGGGAAACAATAAAATACGACGACACATGGAGTGCTTCTTTACGCCGCGGGCAAACAACGCAGCGTTTGATTTTGTCTGCAAAGGAATGCTGTGACATTCTGGTGAATCAAATAGGCGATCGTCTGCGCACTGAACACCTTGCCGCGTTCTCTTTGATGAACCCCAAAAATTTTTCAAAATTTGCACGTCAATTTCCCATCCATTTGTTGGCTACTGTCTCCAAATTTTACCCCATGATAAACGTGGGTAAATTGGAAAATGAACTGCGATGTATATACACCAATCAAACTTTTTTGAACATCACATCAACTTGCGCGCTCTATGGGTTCCTCATAGATAACACTCTAGTAACTACCTTTGCGGCGTATGCAAAATTTCTGGACATCATTTTGACGACGCCTATTTCTTCCGCCGACGCAGAGCGAACATTCAGCACGCTGAAGCGTATAAAACGTATCTCAGAAACACAATGAAGCAAGATATTAAATTCCTTGGCTGTTTTATCCATTCACAGAGACGTTATTTCTGGGATGCATGACTTTAATCAGCGCGTTATTGAGCATTTTGCTTCCAAGAAACCGGGCGTGTTGCATATATGTTTAAGCAGTAGAAGTCTAGCAGCATATATATCTATGAGTGAGCGACGCATGCCCTTATCTTTGCATTACCTTTCCTTTCTTCATAGTAACGTTTTAAACCTTATTTTAGGTTTTGTCTGCTTTTCCGAAGTTTCTGTTAATATGTCATTGTATTTATCTAAGTAAATATTGCCTTTCCTTTTGAAAGAGGTTTCAAAATAAACTATGTTTATATTTAATAATCCCTTGACTTAGACCGGTATTAAAGACACTTTCTTATCGTTAAAAATTGTCGCTTTTGCCGATTGGTTGTTACCGATGGAATGGTTTTTATACTCATAAAATGATGGGAGAACTTACAGCGCTCATCCTGTCCCGTAGATGGGGGTGACTTGGTCCCGCAGTAGCTTGCCCCGGTTGTCAAAATGACCACGCGCCGCCACTGGTGTATAGTACTTTGTCGTATAAAATAACCATCAAAAGCACTTGGTAGACAATGGTTGTGATATTTGTGCATAAGCTTGCAGATCTCTAATTTATAAATATCTGCAAGCTTTAAAACATTAATTTTGTTATAAATTATGTTAAGATTTATGCGAGCAGACGAACGATAAAGGATTTTAACCGCCCTGTTCTGAAGTACATTGATTCGATGCAAAATTGATTGAGATGTGGATCCCCAAGCTACAATTGCATATTGGATATATGTTTGAAAAAGTGAGAAATATACCAATTTAAGGGTTGCTGTATCTATATAGTGTTGAAGTTTACCTAACATACCTACAGTTCGAGAAAGTTTTTTATGAATATCATTAACATGGACATCCCAACGTAAGCAGTTATCTATATTTAGTCCTAGATATTTGTAAGAAGGGACAGATTCTAGCTCTGTTCCATTGATATTAATAGAAATTGCGGTGACTTGATGACGTTGTTTAGGGCATATATGAACAATTTTAGATTTATTAATATTGATTGTTAGCTTGTTGCTAATCATCCATTCGAATACCTTTGCCATCTCGATATTTACATGTTTTTCTAAGGTCAACACAGATTTCGCACTGTCGAGAAGACCGGTGTCATCTGCGAACAATTTTGTCAAGAGGTCAGAGCAATTCGAGATGTCATTGATATATAAAACGAAAAACAGTGGGCCAAGACAGCTGCCCTGGACAATTCCTGTTTTTATGGGAAGCACTTCAGACCGGTTGGTGCCAATTTCAACATATTGCTGTCTACCCGTGAGGTAGTCTTTAAAAAGGTTGTTGGCACAACCGCGGATTCCATAATGGTGGAGTTTATCGAGTAGGATATCATGGCTAACAGTATCAAAGGCCTTTTTCAAGTCTAAAAATACGCAACATATATGTTCACCACGTTCAAATTTTTCATAGATGTATTCAACTAAGTCGATAATAGCATGATTTGTAGAGTGATTATTCTGAAACCCAAATTGGTATTTATTAATAAGGTTGAAATTTTGACAAAAATCCATTAACCTGCGATATAAGAGTTTTTCAAAGACAATAGCAATACTTGATAAAATAGAAATGGGTCTGTAATTTGATGGATCTGTTTTATTCCCAGATTTAAATAATGGAATGACGCGGGCTAGTTTGAGGGCTGATGGGAAGATGCCCATTATTAAAGAAGCATTGAAGAAGTACACAATGATCGGGGAAATAATGTCGGCAATGATCTTGAGAAAGTAAGAGGAAATGTTGTCATCCCCAACCGCTTTTCCCTTTTTCAATGCTAATATTGTGTTAAAAACCTCATTAACAGTGGTAGCTCGGAGGTATATTAATTCCTTGGTGGTGGAGCGAAGAAATTATTTGAAATTTTTATTAGAAGGTGGCACACTGTCAATAAGATTTTTACCAATGCTTGTGAAAAAATAGTTAAGTTCGTTGGCAATTACAAATGGGTTGCTGCTTTTGGAGCCATTTCTAAGGTTAAGTTCTGGAATTGAAGTACTTGAATTCGGTTTTACATTCACAATTTCCTTAATTGTCCGCCAAGTGTGTTTTATGTCCCCCTATAATTTTGTACTTTAGTAAGGTAATGATTTTGTTTGGATCTTCTGATGATGCGGGTTAAAGTATTTTTATACTTTTTGTAGTTTCTTCGTTGACTTGGGGTGCCTAGTATGTAATGCTTTTTCTGCAACAAATTCTTGTTCCTTATCGATATTAAGATACCTTTGGTTATCCATGGTTTGTTTGCCAGTCTAGTCACTTTGCGTGAGCATTTTCCCATGGGCGCGTTCCTGTCAAGTATGCATTTTATTATGCTAATAAAAGTGTTAAACCTCTGATTGAAGTTGGTATTAGATAGTTCTGTGGCCATGAAGTTGTCAAAGGCGTTTTCCGCATCGTGTCTAAAATTTTCTTTATTAAAGTTTGACATTTTACGTTTTGTGCGAGCCGTATCAATTCTATTCGCTACATTAATATTGGGAATGCAACATATTATGGGAAAATGGTCAGAGATATCGTCTAGTAAAATGTAAGACGAGTAATCATGATCTATAATATTTGTGTAGATGTGGTCTATTAGGGTGTGGGATGTGGGAGTAACTCTTGTGGGGTGAGTAATTATGGGAATAGCCATGTGAGATAAGAGCATGTCCATGTATTGAGTGGTTTGTATATCATGGGCTATAAGATTAATATTAAAATCACCCATAAATATAAATTTACTATTACGATTCTCTAAATTGCAGAGGCATTGTTCCATCGCTTCAGTGAAGTTCATAATGTCACTACGAGGGTGTTTGTAAACAACGCCAATGATGATGTTTTTCTTGGTATAGGTAAGTGGAGGACTAACCTCAATCCACAGTTCCTCACAGTTTAAGACTTTAAGTAACTTAGGTAACATTGGGGAATTCCAGTGAAGTGGATATCTGATCTGATGAACATGCCAACACCTCCAGATTTTGTGGGAGAAGGGTTATGAATAAAGTTGTATCCAGTAATTCTAATGTTGCAGATAGGTGAATTGGACAACTTGGTTTCACTTAATGCGATTATATGGGGGCATGATGGAAGCAAGTTAAGAGTTGGATTAGGCTATCAATATGTTTTGAAATTGATCTAACATTCAGGTGAATTATAACTAAATCAGAGGACTTGAATCCCGAAGAAGTATTTTTAATGTTACTGGAATCTAAATAATTACATATGCCTGGGTAAATGTTCGAAGGAATGGTTAGAGTTTTCCAAATGGCGTCGGTCATGGGAGTTTGTTGTTGATGAGAGTTAAATAAACCTGTGTTATCTATAGATGTCATGATCTTTCTATTAATAACATAATATACATTAATAACATAATAACATACAAAGTTTAAGGACTGACGGTAATGAAACAACTCCAGTGTTGGAGTAATCTAAATATTTTCTTGCTACATGGCATATAGATGGAGAACGGGCTGAGGAGACCTCGGAGGAATTATCTGGACCGGACAGAAGGACGTTTAAATCAATGGATTTATGACAGAAATACCTACAGCTACAGAGAGGCAAAAGTATACAAGTAAAATGAAATTTGAGATTACACAATTTACAATGCATATAAGAATTGCTACGGCATGGAGAATGAATTACTGAACACAAGTTATCGAATGTCATGGAGACTTCTGATAATGTTATAAAATGAAGACCGATAGAAAGAGTCTGATCTATTTGATTTTGTGAAGATCGTCTTCGTCTAGTATTTCTAATGTGTCCGTCATTCTATTCTTTTTTATTCGGATTTTTCCACATTTGTTTTTCAACGCTTTCGCTTGAAAAAATAAATCCTTGTTCCTGTTTGTTAAATTTTCGTCAATAAAAACCTTGGCGATGTTTTTAATATTTGAGGTGTTAGGAGCAGTCTTTGGGTTCTTGCGGTTTTCAAGGATCATGTTGCGTATTCTTCGATTTGTGAACCGCACGATGATGGGCGGATGATTTTTCGGATTGCGTGTTGGGAATCTGTGGCTATGGGAAATGTCACTAGGTTCAACATTAACTTTTGCGAGTTTAGTTATTTTCATAACAATTTTGTTAGTGTCTTCATTGGCAAGATATGGAACTCCATGGAATTCTAGGTTTTCGAGCCGAGATCTCCTTTCCTGGTCTTCCGCGTGCTCAGTAACATACCAGAGATCTTCTTCCAGATTTCGGACTCGTTCCTCCAAACTCAGTATTTTTTTGTTCTGGGTTCTCAGTTTATCGTCTACCAATTCCTGGCGATTCAGGAGCTCATCAAACTTTTTGTAAATTGTCCACAGATCCCTTCAATCAAACTTTTTTGTAAGTTGTCCACAGATCCCTTAAAGCATTGCCCGATTCTGAATCGTGTTTTTTGTATGCTTGTATTTATTTTTATTTTTTTTGGTGGGCGGGTGCGTACTTTTACGTTTTTAACTTTATTTTAAGTTATGCTCGCCTTCCAGGTATCTCTGCATTTTGGTTGTTTGTCCAGTTTTTGTTGTTTTGTTTTGATGTCAGAGTACCGAAATAAATGATTGATTGATTGAAGAATGATTTTTCAAGGTGAAGAAATGCGCGAAAAACTATTATGGTTATTGAGCAGGGACACGAGTAATCAGGTATAACGGTAATTGGATATATGATGATTTACATATTTATCCCGGGGGAGAGGAAAGCCGATAAGACGGCTTATCCATATGGCGAACCACGGCCTCTCGTCCGGTTACCATTCCAAGTCGGGTATGGGATTAGTTTTACTGTATTGTTTGTTTTCGGAAGCATGGACTTGGTGGTGGAGGAAGCCGTAACCGACCAGCGGTTACGTGAACCACCCAACGACGGCGAGGAGTCCAGCAATCCTCTCGCACATAACCATCCCTGCCTGGGATTCGAACCTGCGAACCCACGCAGAGTAATTAGAGGTGCGGTGGCGAGCGTATTTCTAACGCGTAGCACGTTGAGCCACACCGTCGCGTTAATAAAAGAAGAAAAAAGTTAACAACTCTCCAAAGAAATTTACATCAAAGTTCGCTGCGACGGTCTGATATATCCGGAAAACGCTCAATGCAGAAATATAATCGACTCCGAGCACCAACAACTGAAATACCCACGGCAACAGAGACGCATGTACGTCACTGCCCTACAAACTGTTTTTGTTTGCTACTGTGGACACGGTTTTGTTTGCTACTGTGCTAGTTTAGCGCAATATTATTAACATTTACGTTTATTGTTAAGTCAGTATAATGAAGCAATGTTATTTTATTCCACGACTCTAATTTCGATTTGTTTGTAAAACATACCTGAATGTTTCATAAGTACCGTACTCCTACGGTACCGGTACGATTTAACTGTTACCGGTACATATTTATCCCGGGGGAGAGGAAAGCCATATAACGTACCATGGCATCTCGTCCGGTTACCATTCAATGTCAGGTTTGGATTAGCTAATTATTTGTTTTCGGAAGCATGGACTTGATGGCGGAGAAAGCCGTAACCGACCACCAGTTACCGTACGTCTTACGTGAACCACCCTACGGCAACGAGGAGTCCAGCAATCCTCTTGCACATTCTCCCGCACATAACCATCTCTGCATGGGATTCGAACCCACACAGAGTAATCAGAGGTGCGGTGGAGAGCGTATTCCTATCGCTTGACACGGTGAGCCACACCGCCGCCCTCCTGCTTCTGCTGTTCTGAATAGTCCCTACCGGTAGGCTATAGCTGTATGGGCAGATGGGTATTGTCGATGTGGCTTGAGAAACATTCATTAATTCCTTTTTTTTAACTTTCTTTGTCATTTTTAGTTTAATTAATAAACATGAAGGTCTGCTTGAACTAAATCCTCTGAAACATTTGAAGCATTGAAGTTTCAATTCCTCGCAATTGATGGTGAGTATAATATATTCTGGAATTGTTTACTCAATGAGTTAATTTTTTCTGAAATTATAGGATTTTAGAGATTATGGGACTATAATATTTATCTGGGGAGAGATTAGAGAAGTTAGCTCAGC